GCATTTAAATAACCTTTATCAGATTTGATGGTTTTGTTACAGACTTTTCAAAAAAGTGTTTTTCTTTTCTTTCACAAATGTGGGATTAAATTGTGTTAAAATGTACAAAACAGTGATGTCATGTTCTGAGACGAGGACCCAGGCACAGAGAGACTTGATGAATTTAAGAATCTTATGATTTATCTTGCCTGGCTGGGCAGCTCTCTGGGTGCTCAGCATCCCCAAAGCTCTGATCCTAGACTCGCCGCTGTCCTCAGATGGTAACTAATGTCTGTCTGTTGCAGCTGTTTCAGGTGGAACTTGCTAGCATTAGCTGTTAACTTAGCACTGTAAACATTTTCCTGTTTACAAAATCTATCTATTGTTTATCTAGCTTGTTTATGTAAATATCTTTGGTGACTGAAATTAAATTTAAAATCTTAATACTGATATTAGATGATTTTGCAAAAATATGGAAGAAAAGAGGCCCACAGAAACAATTCTTGTAGCCATCTAGCATATTTATGACAAAGAGTTTTTGTCTTCTTCTGTCCGTGTGAACGTCCCTTCCCCCGTTTGGCTTTTATGGGATCTAGACCTTCTACTGCTCTGCTCCTGGCCTCTGGAATTCCATCTCACCAGACATTCAGAACTCTGACTCTCTCCATCTTCACATCCCGTCTCAAAACACACTCCTTTAAATGGGTTTAATTACTCATCCTGTCACATGAATCCTCTGCTTTTTATTTTTTTTATAGTCTTATGATTTTATTTATTCTTAAATGTATTATTATTAATAATGATAATATTAATATGATTGTTATTAACAGAAAAATCTCTCAGTAAGTCATACCCATGCCTATGATGATGCTGACGACGATGATGATGATGGCCTCTGTGGTGCAACTCTGTGGTGATACGAGGAGCCTCCGTAGACAGCAGCTTGTTCATTTGGCCTAAATCAAAAATCACAACAATTTAAATGGAAAAGCTTTAAAAAAAACTAAATTCACCCTCCGCCCCTGTGGAGAAGAGAAGCTGTGAAGAGAAACTTCGAGCTGCAGGAAGAGAGCCATCAGTAAGATTTCAGGATAAGACAAACCCATAAATCTTACAACACAAAATTATTATTATTAAATTAGTAAAATTAGTGTCTGCAGTAAAGATTTTTATTTGTAACAATTT